CTTACTTTTTTGGTTTGATAATGTTTACTTTCCTCAATGTTGAAATATTTCATTAAAGTTGTGCTCCTGTTAGTGTTGTCTAAAATTAGTACCAAGACCGCTTGCTTAACTGTTGCAAGGCAAAATAGCTACTTATACTTGCCAATTTTAGTTACTATATGTAAAGAATTGGTATAACCAATACACTTTTGCATTTAAATTTCCAATTTTTCATTCGGGCTTAGTTAGGTTTCCCCTATCTGAAAAATTACAGTAATATCTCTGTAGAAATAAGCTTATAGATAACTGTAAGACTATTGCTAGACTCTTGCGCGACTAAGTGCGATTACGCTATACGAAACATTTACCATATTCATATAGTAACAACTAGTGTTTGCATATTGAGCATTTGGGCAACACTAACACCTGTCATGTTTTTAAGGATGTGGATATTTTGAACAATCATTTCATTGGAATTTTGTTCTATTTCTACCGTCGTGAAGAAAAAAAAATTCTCAATTAATCTTCAAATGCAGTTCGCCGCACACAAAGGCATACAAGGAAAAAAATCCAATTTCCAATTCTGGAGTTAATTTTTATTGCGTTTTTTCCTTGAATAATCAAAGAATAAAATCCGATTTGCTTGTTCCAAACAACATTTCTTTTCAAGCTGAAATTACAATTTTTGTTGTTGTAAGATTACTTTAAATGTTTGAAGTATTATTTGGAGCTTGATTCAGCACATTTGATTGATGGGTATTTTACATCCTTTATATGCATATATATTTTTTTTAAAATCTGTTTATTGAATAATAATACAATCAGCCACTGCTGGAGGGCTATAAGCATTAGGGCTAAAAGTTCTCATTCATACAATATATACAAATAACAAAGAAAGAAATATAAATATAAGAAGTAAATAAATAATACTGGTGAAGAAGTTAAATAAAAAAAATAAAATAAAATAAACAAATAAAATAAAATAAAAACTTCTAGACGCAATCATACCTATATACAATATATACATTCGCCCAAGAATCTCCGAGCCAGGCTTTTTCCCCTGGAAGGCAAAGCAAGACTCCAGAAGATCCCAGCGCCACTTTTCCAGCCGCATCACTAGTATTAGAAGTCAGTGGAGACTGAAAGGGGGCACTAGAGCCACAGACGCTCAGGACATGAGTGGAGAAGCTGACCATTGCCAGGAGTCCAAAGGCATATTTACAAAAGATCTCGAGGCCACTGCTGTTTCAACCTTCGAGGGGGATGGTATGGATGCTAGGAGCTGGATAGAGATTGCGCTAGAGGATTGGGATGATGAATGAGGTTCTGGTGAAAGTTGGAGAATCTGGATGGGATGATGTCATGGACATATGGGATTTTAAGGGTCTGGGGGATGGACATGTTGTAGGGTCTTGTTCGTGACATAATACGGAGCATTGACTATTGTTCGAAGGACTTTTGACTGGAAGGATTGGATGCGTTTGATATTCGATGATTTAGTTGTCCCCAACAGTTCAAGTCCGTAGGTCTAGATAGGTTTCAGTATTGTCTTGTAGATTAATAATTTTTTTTCTGTTGAGAGATGAGATGTTCTGTTTAGTAGTCTATATAACTGACCAAATCGTTGGTTAAGCTCTTGTCTTTTAAGTCTCGTATGTGGGTTCCAAGTCAGTCTTTTGTCCAAAAGGAAGCCAAGGTATCGGACTGTGTCTGAGTAGGGAAGAGGAATTGAATTAAAAAGGATTGGCGGACAGGATCTGCGTCGAAGAGTGAAAGTTACATGCTTGCATTTTGATTCATTAATTTTTATGCGCCAGTTGTTGCACCAGGAGGTGTCTTTGCAGGTTCTGAGACGCTGTTAGAGGATCCGAGTGAGAGGATAGGATGGCAGTATCATCAGATATGCATATATAGACTACTACTTTATAACAGTAGCCGCCTAGTAAAAACTATTAAATAAGAGAAAATCTGTAACATTAAAAAATTAATTTGAAGTATGATTATAGAAAAGGCCTTATCCCAGCTTTATACACCAGAGAATATATTCCTTTAATTTCATTTGCCTTTTATTGCCTATTGGTTATTGTCATTTATGTGAACATTTTTGCATAAAATTTCAAACGCAAATTATGCTATACGAAAAACTTATTATTTTCATATAGTAAGAACTAGCGTTTGCACATTGAATTGATTTTTTTTTTCGTAAATGAAGTCAATGATACTATAATTAATACATATGAAAAGTATTCAAACTTACAGCTTAGTTCCCAAAGACTTGATAAAGCGACGAGTAGCTATTGAGAGTTTCATTATTTGTTTACAAGAATTAATACTTTCTTATTTACTCAGATGGTATTGCTCAATATCTCGTTAGAAATTTTGGACAATATACATGTATTGTCTACTAGTGAAGAAGTGTTCCATAGGATTTTAGTATCATCTGACCCATTTATTTCTAGTTTGACCTGAACAAAACAAGAAATATTTTCCAGTATATGCAGAAGTCTTAGAATTATTGATTTAATAAGGACATGTATTTTCATTATTATTACTTATCGTAAGTCAGACTTCATTACTATTTTTATTCTTCATAGTATTATCATTACTACCATCAATTTTATATTTTAATGTGTTTAATAAATAACTTGTTTTATACTAAACATCATTGTTTTTATAATCTGAACTGAATGAAATCTAAGTACTAATATTCGCTAGTATCTATGAACTTTTAAAATTATTATAAAATGGCTCAACTTTTGTTTTTAGAGTGATTTTGCTATGCACTTTTTCAGTAAGAATCGAATGACATCAACTGCAAGTCGGAAAATTCAATTCTTGTTAATAGGGCGGTTTCCCAAAGTATCACAAAAAAATTAAGTAAATAATAATAATTGGCTAATTTTTAGGTGGGCTTTATGTCCAACTACCACATGTGGTATCGTGGAAGGAGGGTGGAGTACTCGAAAAAACGCAAAGAAATTGTTGGTACTGAGCTAATCCGCCCCCCTATATTTTTTCCAATGTATATTTTTATCCTGAATCGAATGAGACCAACGATAAATCGATGAGATCAGTCATTAAAAAGATACTGATTTTTTTTTTCGCTTTTTGGTCATTTGGCCCCAGCTTGAGCCGTGCTTAATAATCTTCAGAAGACCACATTTGAATTGAAAATTTGAAATCTATTTCCTGGTTAAGGAAATATAATTCGGATCGAAAATCTCTAGTAATTTCTACAATGCCACTGGTTAGTGTAGATTACTATGTTCCATTGGGATTTTCGAGACATACGAGTATAAATTAGGGAATTCGATAGGTATCAACTAGCGTACACCTTATTGATTCTCTTAATTTACTTAGTATTGTAGTTTATCTGGTAGTTTATAACTAAGTTTTCCAAAAATAAAATATTAATAGAAATCTTTTATTTTCTTCAAAAGAGAGAAGTAGCGACTCGGAAAAATAAGTTACACTTCGGTCTAGAAATGCTAGAGGATTTTAAATGTATAATGTTTTGCCAATAAAAATTATATATTATTTGATGAAATTTTATTGTTAAATTAAATTAGACCGGTTGATAGCATGTAAGTACAGGAAAATCAATACACATTAAGATAAAATCATATCAAGACATTCATATATATATATATATATATATATATATATATATATATATATATATATATATATATATATGTGTGTGTGTGTGTGTGTGTGTGTGTGTGTGTATATGTAGACTAAAATTTCATTGCAGCCTTGTCTCTATTAATTAATCAGGTTAATGGAATAGACCTTCATAATGGATAATTACTATCTTTGCAAAGTGCCTGACAATGTTTCTATTTTCTAGGATATTTTTAGATCCACCCTCATTTTGAAGTTCTCAGCATCCCTTGGGCGCCCCCAATATCGATTTTGTCTAAAATCTCCTACTCCATTTTCCTCACTTTAGAATACTCATTTCCATCGGTTAAAAAAGTATTTTTAGGTCAGTTCCGCATCCGCGTATAACAAACATTTGTATTTTTTTATTTATTTTCACTTTATAATATTAAACTGTTCGTTATTATTTATTACTTTTGCTCGATCGCCATTTTTTTTTTTTTTTTGTGGTTTTAAGCTTTGGAAATTAACTTCTTGTCAATACTTGTATTCTTGAACTTCTTCAGCTAAATGAAATATATTTAAATTTTCAGTATATAACAGGAAAAACTATGGGGTAAAAATAGAAATAAATGAATGATGATTGTGATAAATACTTCCATACTCCATTCAACCTGTCTTATCTGCCTCTGCCTGCCTGGGCTGTTGCTTTTCAATTTACTGCCTAACTATTTACATTTTGACCTGTCATTATTTTTTGCAAATTTTAATGTGATTAAATATCTAAAAGAACGCTCTTAAAAATATTTTTGGACAAACGTATTAAGGAAAATCTGAAGAATATGAAATTTTCATTAGATATATTTATAGCACTAAGATTAGATGAAATGAGGAAAAGGTTGTTGGTGTAGCCAAGAAAAGCTTTATGAGTTTGTTGAGAAGAAAAAATCTGGTTCTAATGATTTTAGTGATTTATTTTTTTAATAACAACTATCATTATTCTACCATACTTTGGGATATGTACCCACTTAACCATCATGACGAAATTTTTGTTCAGGCAATCAGCTAAAGCAAAAAGGAACGAAATGTGGAATATATATATTGCCTTCACACTTAATTATATCCTCAAGTGTATTTTAATGATGCTCCCTCATGTAAGGAAGAACAATATTTGGTACATCACCTGGACAAAAGACAAATATGAAGAACAAACATCAGACTGAAAATAAAACAACTGAACGAACTATTTAGACTATTACCGAGGTTACTTGACAAATGTCCCAAGTTATCCTTAAGCTACAGACTTACCATCAACAATGTACTGATCAAATCTTCAAGGACATAAGGAACAGAAGAGTAAAAAAATCTCAAACATGCAAATTTTCTATGTCTAATTCGCTCACGATTTTTGCTTTCAGAGAGCACTGTTGCTGGACGAGGATGTTTTCGGCGGCCACGAAGAAGGTGACGGAAGCGGCGCTAGAGAGAAGAGGCTGCTAAAGCTGAAAGCCCTCGGATTGGGAGCGGGCCTGAAGGCAGCGGGGGCCGGACTCCAGGCAGCTGGCGCTGGAGTCAAAGCGATCGGGATCTCCGCTGCTAAAGCGGTCGGGAAGAAGGCGCTCACCGCAGGAGTGGCCGTTGGGGCCAAGGTGGCCAAGGGAGCGCTCACTGTAGGAGCCACTGTCGCAAAGGCTGCCATAACAGTCGGAATCGCCAAGTTGCTACTGTCGCTAGTCTTCGGGGTATGTTTCTGACTTGTATTATGCTACAATTATTACAGATATGCATGTAACAAATATTTCATACGGAGTCGCTTTTTGTATACCTGATGCTGGAGTTCCGTGAAGAGGGCATTTTTGTACCTGAATAAAATTATTGCATTGCGCGAATTGCGTAATCGAACGTATATTTTTATATATATATTTTTACAGGTCTTTCATATTTGAAAGGGGCATATTGATACTGATGTTGATGGGTTTATTAATTTTTAAAGGAACTATATTGTTGTGAGGTTTCAAATAAGATAACAACGGGAAAATGTGGAATAGATAGAGCAACTGTAATCGGAGAAACAACAATCTTCCTAATTCTAATTTCGCTCACACTGTCTTTAAGAAGAGAAGAGCAATCAAATTTCTTGAAAGAAGGTCATGAACTATCGACTTTGGGGTGAGGACGGTGGGAAGTTATGTTCACCTCTGACCTAATGTCTTTACCTGATGAATATCCAAATTTTGATTCTGGAGCTTGTCTAGTAATGGTTGGCTTCTCTAGTTAGCCAACTTCAATCAGCTGTTTCCATTTTCCTTCTTTTTGTAAAATGGTCGTTTATTTATATATTTTGTTTTGTGACTTGTAAACTCTAAAATGTTTATTTTTAAATAATATTACAACTCACCGAATTAAAGGACAAGAAGTATAGACAGAAAAAAATAAGTAAATAGATTAAAAGAAAGAACCACTTAATTTTTAAAAATACAATCAAATGGAATAAACTTCACGAACACTGCAATATTTGTATGTACAATATAGTCACTAGATTGGGAAAACTTCCAACCAAACTTACATTACCTCCAAACAGGGAGAAACTTCCTCTAAAAAATATTGGAAAAATCAGGATTAAAGGACTACTAAACCTTACATACATTGCTTAAGTTATAATTTCCTTAAATCTTAAAGAATTATTGGTTTTGGCATGTCTGCTTTCTTACTATTGATATAGATCTTATATGATCTGGCAAGTTACACAATGCTCACACCTAATATTTGAATGGCGATTACTAAGAAACTATGCCCTATCGAGGCCTTATATTTACCAATAAGTTATTTACCTAAAAGTTTCTTATGCAATGATGCTATGTTACTGGAGGTTGAGCAACGTCCTACCATCACTTATGCTTCGTTCAGCTCAGTCAATACACCATTGGCCAGCTTTATTTGAAACCCAGAGACAGTCTCCTCTTAAGAATGAGTTCCGTGACGCACTATACGTTTCCAAACAATCGGGACTGCATAAAAGGATAATTACATGGAAACGTATAAAATGTTTCACTCCTAAGTTACTTTACTGTTACGAAATGTTACCTCTGTTTAAAAGCATAGCTTAAAAGATCAAGATACTTTCTCATGAATGGAACGTGCCTCCTAAGCTTAGTGTTCCCCTCAGTTCCCTTCGACTTATCGGTGTAATCTACACCTGCAAGTCACAAATATGGTAGAGTCCGTATGGCGTAACTACTCTGTAATTCATTCCTGAATATGTACCAGTTGTTAAAAATAAATAAATAAAAGTAAACCTTTAAAAATAGTAGAGTTTTATTTCCGAAAACGAGTAGTCTTTTTTTTGGTTTTATTCGAAATTGTGGCATGTTTAATTCATGTCAGATCATTGTTTTATGTACCTACCGATAACAACACAAATAAAAAAAAAGAACACCTGTACCACTACTACTCATGAAGGGTCTTGAGTTCAATAATTTGTAATGAAATGCTGTTTCTTGGTCAACGGTGGTGCAAGGAGGGGATTTGACCAAAATCATGCTCAATCGTTAGTTTTTCCTCTTAATTAATTATTTAATTAAGAGTACCCAGTTACAGATGCTGGGTGTGTCCCACGAGGGTCTCCCGACCCCAGGGTTGAAATAAGGCCGATGAAGCAGAATAAATAATTTATCTCAGCCCTCAGCCGTATTGGAACCTGGGATTTTGAGCATTGGAAGTCAGCGCCCTACCACTGAGCTATTCTCCTATCTAGTAATTTTATTGATTGGTGGAGCTTTCGTTACAAATTAAAAACAATCAAAATATTTATTTGCGATGAAATTTGTTTATTAATGAGAGCAAAATAAAAAACTGTCAAATGACTGCTAATGTATTATTTTAAATTTCTCAAATACCAGTGAATAACCAGTCAACATTTTTCCTAGTGAGGAATCATCAGGAAGAAAGAAAACAATATCTCAGAATTTCAGATCAGAGTACTACAACAGCGAATAAAATATTTATTAAATTGAGATAATACATTAATGTAGGACATTTCCACATCATAATCATCATATTTTCTTAGAAAATATAAATAAATTATATTTGATTAGGATTTTATATTTGATGATATCAGATCTCCGGTAACTATTAGCGAAAAGTTTATATTATTATTTGAGAAACGTTAGCCTTTATCATAGGTCTGCTTTTAAGGCACATGCTCTAAGGAAACGAAATCGCTAGATAGCGAATCTGTACTATAGATATTAGTGGAATATTATAAAAGATAACATAACTCGAAGATTTATTTTCAAATTTTCGAGAAAACGCAGGATGTCATTTTTCAAATTATCTTTAATCGCCTTTTAGGATTCGCCTTTTAGGAAATCAGCGTTTTCTGAAATGCAGTGTTCACAATCAACAAGATCTTCTTTAGCTTAATTCTAGTACAGTTTGCACTATTTTCCATCTTCTCTTCTCTTGAACATTTGGGGTAAGCCCAATAATGATGCTATGTCCATGATGCTAAGGATTTTTTTTTTTTTTTTGGCTTATGCCGCCGTAATTATTATAGTTATAAACTTATTCGTTGAACATTTAGAATCTCTAGAGTCTCCTTTTTCTATTTAACACTTTAAAATTGGAAAAATATACAGTTACGCAGGTATAATCTCCATTTTAAAAAATACAACACATTTTTGTTCTAGTGATGTACACCCCGAAATTCAATTGTTTTAGTAATAAAACTTTAAAATCTTTATTTAACTATAAAGATAACGATATAGATAAGATAAATGTTCAACTTAGTCTTAACAAAACTGTTAGTAGGAAGGTATGAAACATCTATAGTGCTAATCTCAAGAGCAATATAGAAACAACAATGATAGGCATTTTAAAATTTTCTTTGTGGCAACTTTGTTTATACAGTTGTCAATAAAGAGTATTATTCTTCAATCTAGAAAATTGGAACCTTTAAATCAACAAGGAAGCTTATTATTTACATTGAAAATCCAACTTATCCATCACTGAAAGTCCCTATCCATAATTGGTGCGTTTACCCTTTATGTTTAATCAAACGTCTTACTAGACACATAGACCATTCATCCATCTCAGGAAAAAAACATCACTTGTGGATCTAATGAGTGTAATACGTCTTATCATCAAAGTTAAGAAGGAAAAAAATCTTTGTACATAAACAATCGCCTTTAGAGATAAAAAACAACCCAAATTTGTAAAAAAAAAAAAAGATTTTTTTAAAGAAATAAATGGGTGGATTGTTTTTTAAAAAGTTATGGAAAGGCTAATTTTTTTTAATATTTTTTCAATTTAAACCAATGATTTTTTAAACAATGTTTAAGTTGATTTTTTTCATATATTTTTTTATATATATAAAAAATATATGTATATAAAAATATATATTTTTTATATATTAAAAAAATATATGTATATAAAAATATAAATACACATATATTTTACACAGAGGTATATTACAATCTGTCACAGGTTGAAACATAAAAAAAACAGATTTTTTTTTTAATTGAAGCTATTAAACAAAATTAGGCTTTTTTAAAACTTTCTGAACATGACAGATGATCACCTTTGATATGAACCTTTTCAAATATCTGAATCTCATTATGTTCTTAAAATTATTTTACGCCCCTAAGTCTAAAAATGAATACCCCTTTTCAATTTTGTTCTTTAGTTTAAAATTTACAAAATTACTTTTAGCAGAAAACTAGCTGTTCCATGCAACTTAAATAAGCCATTCTGGTTATTTAAATTCCTTGTCTTTGAAGGCCCGTTCCACTCCCGTTCCGCTTTCTATCGGAGAAAGGAAATTAAAAAACAATTGAATAATTGAATAACATTATACCTTTTGTGGTTACACAAATTAGATACTCTTGGTGCTTTTGCCTTTCAATTGATTTTTAAAAGATCAGTGGAATACTTGTGCTACAGAAGCAGATGGTTAATTTTGGTGAGTTCCTTTTTTTCTGTGTGTGTATTTTGAGCCTTATTTTGATTAACTTACTATTACATATAATAATAATAATAATGTTTTATTTTCATAAAAGATTCATTGCATCTATAAAATACGATATCAAAACATTGGGGCATTGGTCACGTGACCGGTAGCCGAGCCAGTTACCGTCATTCACAATTATTGATATTTACGTATAAATATATATTTACATATGTAGTTAAATATATCCTATTTTCTCAAGATATAATTCTCCATAATACAATAAACAAAATATTTCAGACATCAAAATACACACACACTCCCAGCTCCAAATTATAAACACATTACATATTTACTTGCCTACCCATTATTTAATTATATCTACATCACTTCATCAACCACTAGCGGATCCAGGATTTAATTTTGGGGGGCTTCAGCCTGAAAGCTTTTTTTTCACAACAATAACGATAATTACTTTGGAAAAAAAGAAAGAAACTAACTACCTGTATGAAATAGTGTTTAAGTGATTCCTAAAGCCCTTTTAATATTAATCACACGAACAATAATACTTTAAGAGATACGTTTTTTCGATAAAACATGGTTATATTTTACCATTTTGGGGGGAGAGAGGCTTCAGCCCGAAAGCCCCCTCCCCCCCCGTAGATCCGCCTGTGTCATCAAGCATAATTAAACTGCCTAACCAATCTACCTCTATTATTCTTCACCAATTGTTAATATTTTATCAAGAATGGACTGTTTTTACAATTTAACTATTACTTCTTCCATAACCAGTTCTTA